ACTCTAGTTGAAGCCACTGGACAGTTGATGATACTAATAGTGTCACTCAACTCACGTGTTCGGTTCATTGATTCCAACAGGTCGTTTCTAAGGCTATTATAAATACACAATTTAGGTAATTTGTTGATCAATTTGCACCAGTTTTCAAATAATTTGAAAACGGGTGATGTTATTCCACCAATAAGGGTTTCCGGTTGCCTACCGTTTTCAAGGAAATGAGAAACTTTGCAAACACGGGTACCACTGAATATTGTTTACGGATCTTGAATACATACTGGTTTTAAGAGAAACTGATTAAAGAACTGTATTTATTTGTATATGGACTATAACTGTGTGTTTTATGTAGAATTTCTGTGTCTTTCTTGATTAGACATAGGTCCATTGTTGATTATCTGCATTGTGAATATACTAATGACAAAATTCTTCAGCAGGACTTCCGACGCGTTCGAGTTTCTCTTCCATAGGCTTAGCATTAGAGTTAATATTTTTGTAGTGTCTTCCATCTCTACAGGTGATATTGGTATAATGTCATCAAATATTGCATATAAAATATATTTTCTTTTAGATCTGTCTAGGGCCCTAATATCGACAATTAATATATGGTAAAATCGGAAAGCTTGGCAGACGTTTTACAGAATGCACTTTAAAGAAATAACTTTCTGTGATACTAATTAAGATTATGCTTTTTTAAGATAGTGTATATGACACTCCGTTTCCCTGACGAACAAACAATCGAAGGAAGTTTTGTCTTGGTTTTTAATCTGGGATTTGAATATATATCGCTTGTTAATTGCTACATACAATAAAAAGTTGAGCAATGTTAATGTCGAATTTTATCAGATCCCGAATTAAACATTCAAGCAAATCCCCCATGGAAGTAATTCGACTTTAGATTGTGTTGAATACCTCATCTGATAAGTCAGCACCAGCGCCTTGGTCCGACATATAGTTAACATTGCAATATGACTTGATAGATTTTACCCGTCTAATAAATGTTCGGTAAGGTTTGGAAAGACCTCAACTCCATTACTATACCTGGCTTATAGTGAATTGTACCTTCCTTTTTTCTCGTTCCCATACATTGACAGCATATCAGTATCACCAAACGGGTAAAATCAAACCATCGGCTTTCTTTATCAAAACTTGACAATTGTAGATCTTAGTAGACAAATTGTCCGTGCATTGTTGCAGTGCAGGCAGTAAATCGTCAGGATGTATGCAACCAACTTTCAGCTTTAACACACAGAGATATTTATTTGCTAAGAACGCTATCTCCCTGTCGGCTTCAAATAAGCAAGATGCATTGTGATATTCCAAGCTTTACAAGAACATTTCGGGAAGTTAAGCCTGCTAAGAGGGGTAATATAAATGTCTCATCATCGTGTGATTCATCATCATCCGGATTATCTGCTGTACAATCTTTTGAACATTTTCCGACTGTTAAACAAAAAGTTATATATCTGTGTTTAGTTTCAAATCTGATGGATCATCGGTTCCGTCAAAGATAACAATCGAATCAACATAATAATTTGTCAATGTTAACCAAAGAATATTATATGTTATTTTGGTTTTGGAGTGATTTATGTGGATATTTCACCTGCTTAGATTTTATATCACTCGAGCCGTTAGGCGAGGGTGATATTTTATCTTGGCAGGTAAAATATCCACATATATCACTCCAAAACCAAAATAATAATTTTATTACCCTTCCCCTGCCGAGTTTAGACGATTTTTTTTTTAAAAAATCATTGTTGTTTCAAATGAAACGTCGACATAAGATTCCATTTAGGCTACCCCTTCATCACAACATGACGTCACATAAATACCTGACGAATGTTTCCCGTACCTAACGAATGTAAACAAGAGAAAAGGAGTAGTCTATTGAACGCACTTTTTTGTAATTAATATCAAGCTTTCACAAGGTCATATTTGTTTTCAATACTGATGAGAATATGTATCATTACCTTACTTTGGTAAACATTTATCATTTGACAGTTAAAAAGTGCTTGTAAATCGAAATTTACACCGCGTAAAATCGAACCTTACGCGCATCACCTCAGCGCATGTTGTTTACAACGTTGGGTACCCAACGGGGAAATTTAGTGTGTATATTACCCGTCTGGCTCGGTAATATAAATTTCTTTCGGGTGATCAATAACCAATCAAAAAGGCGGAAAAAAATCTGGAAGGGTAATAAATATATATATAGAATGTAAACGAAATATGAACCATCAATTTTCAACTAAGTGTTTCCTTTCGGTCTCATATATATCCTGTTAAACCACACATACCCATTCTGTAACTCCAACAGAAATTCGCGATTTATTGTTTCACAAGCTTTTCTGGTGTATTTTCTAGTACCACATGATTGTGCAGGACAATATTGCGACCAATGACCCGGAAAGCACAGTGACCATATCAAACAAAGAGGGAGATGAATATGCTGCTTTGGTTTTGATATTTGTAGTAATTTGTCGCACTAAAAATTTATATAATGATTTGACTGGATAACAGATTTATCCGTAAAAATCATGTTTGATAATTTCAGAGTGAAAATTATCAAAACATAATTTCTCTCTTTTCAATCAAGAGACCCCTTTCAAGATTTTTCAAGATTTTTGCTAAAAATTGCGACATTGTCATGGCTGCTTAGAGGAAAGCAAAGCTGAAGTTGATAAATAAAAAAAACGTACGGAAAAGATAAAACTTACATCATTCACTCAATTTACCTATAACCAAAATATTATATCGTCTCTTATTTTTTATTTCATTTTAAAAGTCTGAAAAATACATCTACTTCCAACGTGTAAAACTACTTTTGATGACATTTGGGCATATTTAAGTATCCTGTGAGCAATAACTGTAATGCAATGTATAAAAGCAATGAAAGCCACCAGCCCGAAGAATAAGTAAACAACCAATCATCGAAAGACAGCCTTTCAAGAAAACAATCAGGTTTCGTTTTTAGAATGTCCATACATCTGTCAACCATAATTTATTGTCTGTAATAATCCTCATATATTTTTTTCTTTCTTTTGAAAATGATGTAGAATTAACAAATCCAAATGAAATCCCACTGAATCAAACACATTTGGTTTTTCCTCCCGTGAAATATACAACTTTTAAAAATGGCGGTCGTTACATTTCCGAATTGAGACTTATAATAAACTTCCGCGGAAAATAACAGAAATCAGCACATTTACCGTTGAAATTTATTTCTCAGCTCAAGACTTCATTAGTTTATGAGAAAGTCGTCTAAAATTAGGGGCTACCAGTTGGGAAAACAGATTTTGATATTGAAGTGAATATTGTGGAAATTTCATTTAAAGTTCCATTTAAGAATGAAATAAAAAGAAAATTTGTTTGTTGTTGTGTGAGATGTTATTTTATTATATTTTAGAGAAAAAAACCCTGAAGGAATTCCGAAGTATAAAAAAAGAAGGTATATCCCGTTTGCGGAAAAACGAATAGTTTGTTTTCAGAGCAAGTATGTTAAAATACGAACGTTTCTTTTAACTATATACTAGTAATGTGTTTGAGGTGGGATTATGAAATATTAGTAAAACGGTAGTTTTTCTTTTATAATCTGGAGGCCTGCTGCTTTAATGTTCATTATCTGATTACCTATATTTCCAACCAATAAATAATAACAGTTTTTTTGCTTACTTTTCTCACGACTTAAGGCAAAGCACCAGGGCACCTTTCACAACAAAGCTCAATTAATTCTATCCAGCATTGGAAAATCGAAAAAAGTGATATTTGTTCATTCAATGGATCCCTGTCCGTTGTCAAAAGAAGATAAACGTTGCGAACCAGAGTGCCATGAAGAAATCTTTCGGGATCTGGAAGACATATTGGCTTTAAGAGAAGCTGGTTTAAGAACTGTATTTCTTTGTATATGGCCTGAAACTGTGCATTTTTATGTAGAAGGTCCATATCATTCTCGTTTAAATCCATGCGTTCTCCAAAATGCCTTCTCATGTCGTTCGCGAATTCCACCAATCTCTCAATTTCAGTTTCCTCTCTTCCACTTAGTATTTCTATTTCATTTTCAGCGGTGCAAATTTGCATTGTGAAAATACTTATGACGAAAGCCTTCAATTGGTCTTCCGACGCTTTCGAGTTTCTCTTCCACAGACTTAGCATGAGAATAATAATTCTTGAAGTCTCATTCATCTCTTCAGGTAAGATTGTTCTCATGTCACCAAATATTGCGAACAAAAGAGATTTTATTTGAAGTGGGTGGTCTAGAACTTGTGTTTCAATATTGGCAATATGCGGCAACGTCGGGAAATCTGGTAGACTAGTCAATGGATCCACATCTGAGACATTAAGTCTAGTTCTGTGATGTTCTTTAATCCTTCTCTCTTCTTGAGGACTCTGACCTACCAAAATTTCGTATATGACACGCCTGATTCCTTTCGAGCAAGCAAATGAAGGAGGATTCAAGAGGTTTTCAATCTGGGATTTGAATAGATATCGCTTGTGAATTGCTATATTCAGTAAAAACTTGCTGTTAATGTCACATTTGATGACATTCCGAATAAAATATTCCGGCAAATCACTCCTTAAAGTAATTCGACTGAAGATTGTGTTTCGTACCTCTTCTGATAGGTTATCACCAGCACCTTGGTCCGACATGTTCCGTACCTCTTCTGATAGGTTATCACCAGCACCTTGGTCCGACATGTTCCGTACCTCTTCTGATAGGTTATCACCAGCACCTTGGTCCGACATGTTCCGTACCTCTTCTGATAGGTTATCATCAGCACCTTGGTCCGACATGTTCCGTACCTCTTCTGATAGGTTATCACCAGCACCTTGGTCCGACATGTTCCGTACCTCTTCTGATAGGTTATCACCAGCACTTTGGTCCACATTACTGTTAACATTGCAATATGACATGACAGATTTTTCAAAAGTATTTTTCCCTTCTTCTGTTAACTGTCCTTTAACATTTGCAAAGGCCTCCTTTCCATTATGAAACCTGCTTAGCCAATTTATCGTGAATTGTACATGACTTCTTTCTTGTTTTGTTGTGATGTTATTTCAGCCATAGGTGCATTCATGGGCCTTATAAAGGCGTCACTTGAAAATTCAGCATAATCATTCCCGGCCAGTGTTGCGAAAACAGGTAAAATCAAACCATCGGGATTTCTGTTAAACACATTCATCAAATCTTGACATTTGTAGATCTTAGTAGGCAAATTGCCCGTGCAGTTTTTCGGTAAAGGCAGTAAATCATCAGGATGTATGAAACCAACTTTCAGGTTAAACACACAGAAATCGCTGTCGGCACTTAAAACTGGACACTCAAATTTATTTGCCAAGAACGCTATCTCCCTGTCGGCTTCAAATAAGCAAGACGCATGTGCTACTCCAAGCTTATCAAGAATATTTCGAAAGGTTAAGTCTGCTAAGAGGGGTAGTATAAATGTATTTCCACGGATTATCTTTTGAACATTTGCAAACTGCTGATCAAGACGTTTTAAATGAGTTTCTAATTTTAAATCAGATGGATCATCGGCTCCGTCGAAGATAACAATCGGAACAACATGACATTTTTTTGTCAATGTTTCGAAAAATTTCTTACATTTTGCTGCAAAATCATAATAGTCTCCTCCAGATTTAAAGGGAATACCATAGGACTTATATAGTATGTATATTAAATTTGAACCGTCAATTATCAACTTAGTATTCTGAAGATTGTAGTCACGCAGGAACGTTTCTCTTTGGTGTCGTATATATCCTGTTAAACCAAGCACACCCATTCTGTAACTCACGCTTTATTGTCTACACAAAAATGTATCCCTTTAAGTTTCAACAAGCTTTTCTGGTGTATTTTACTTTTTTTAACAATATTTTGTCATTATGTTCTTTATCTCCGCTCTCAAGCAAAACAATGATAAATCCAATAAAACTACTCGACACATAGCATCTTCAACTTGCGCTTAACTAAATAGTTCCTCATCAAGGTAGTCAGGTTATCGTTATACCCGATCAACTGCCAACCGAACTGGCCACTTTATAAATGCTATTTAAGATATAATGTTTTAAAAATTATAAATACGATTTTACGTATTGTATAAAAGTTTTAATTTTCATTACGCAAGTTCTTAATACGGAACCAGTGTCGTGCAATGAATCCTACTTTTTGTAATATGAGACTGTTTAGTATATAAATGTATACATGTCCATGCTTAGAAAGTAGTACAGCAGTCCTCTCCAGTATCAAACGTGTAGTCTTATTTCTCATTAGAGTTATACGTTGTCCATTTGTGATAAACTCACATAAAAAACCACATAACAATAAACTTTTTCTACAATTTACTGCAGCATTGGTATCCTATGCACATTTTATTTGCATAAGTGTATAGATTTCGAATATGACTTTAAAACGGCACGTGTATCTAAAAGCGCAGAATTTTATTTTTTGTCGTCTTCCCGGAACATAATAACATACATAATATAATAAATTCTATTTTTTTTTTTTTTTTGAAAAAGAAATAATGCATTTTGGCAAATTAAGTGTCATCATTATTATTGAATAATAACAAGCTTTGAACATAAAATGATGGCTTCTGGTGCATTTTCGCCTGCACATTCTATAATATACGTTTCTATGTTTCCAAAAGAATTTAAATACTAACCTTTTAACGGAACTTTCACTTCATAATTATTATTCAATTGAAGGATACTTTCGTCAAACATCAGTCATGTTGCACCAAGAAATTTCTATATTTATAAAGGGAAATCAAATTCAGGTTTTATGGTGCTTGGATAGAGACCTCCAATTATGATCCCAAGAAATGTATAAGTTTTTATATAAATGTTTTCTGTTTTCTTTCGGAAACTGGCTTTATATGTTAAAGTTTCAAATGAATTCCACCAGTATATACATGTCTTCATAAAAGGCCATTACTCAGTCTAAATCTGTTAGATTCATGGGGTTCAAAGGGTAACCTCCATTAATGATCTCAAACAAATGCACATTTTATTTGGTTTCAAATTAATGCCTTCAGTTCAGAAAATTGATGTTACAAGTTTACATACTCAAGTTTAAAGGACTCTACCGAGGTAATTTGGCATGACAGGACTGGAAATGAATAACTTGTATGCAAAATTTCAGACCATGCGCCCTTCTTGTTTTCGCAGGTTAATTATTCTAATTGCGGAAAATGACCAAAAATTGAAATACATTACAACGCTGTTTACTTAAAGCAGGCCAAGAAAAGCACAAAGTATGTTTTTTGATTTATTTCTTAGTATATTTCTTAATTATATTTTGCTTATCTATTTAGGTAATTCAAATTCTATACTTTTAGGCTTTTGGTGCTCAGTGGAATTTCTTTGACCTACATTTTTACAAGCTCACAGAGGGCTAATGATCAGTCAAAATCAATGTCAGAGTAATGGTACTTGGAAAGTGATCTATCTTATTAGTAAGAATCACAGTCATTATGGAGTAATTACATGCAGTTAAGTTGTCAAAGGACCTAATTTCAGCCCTACTTTGGAGTGATGGTTTAGAATATATTTTTTGGAAAGTTCGTTCTAATGTATATATATGATCCTGATGACATGTTACATTTGTTATTAGTTTCAAATGATACTTCAGTACACATGATCATCTAATTATTATGATTTACATGACAAAAATGTAATGCAGTTTATGGGTTCAAATGGGGCCATATGCAAAAACCATCGCTAATGTGATTGTCTGTTGCATGACCTTTTACGGAGAACTATCTAAGTAATTCCTGATGAAGTTACAGGAATATTTTAGGGGTTTATGAAACTTGATGCTGTACAAGCTAGATGATGCCCCCAAATGTTTAACCAAAGTGGTATGCAAACGCGGACACTGACACCAAGACGAATAGAATAGCATCCCTATTCTTCGAATAGTTGAGCTAAAAAGTTCATCAGGCTCCAGCCTTTTTTAAATCAAAAGGCATGAAACCTTGAAATATTCTAAATTTTATTTGTTCCATTTTTCGTCAAATATTTTATTAGAAAGTAATATTTTCCTCAAGAATAAAAGGACATTTAAAATAAATGTGGCGGAACAGTGCACACGTATTATGCAGACTATAAAATAAACAGGAAAAAACCTAGCAATGTATAATATAAGCCGTAAAAAATGCATTTTAATTAAAATTTACATCACTTACGCTGCAGTATTTATATAGATTAAAGATTAAAAACTAGCTGAATATATATATATATACAAAAAATGAAAACAAGTGCCGGAAAAAAGTCACATATATATAAAACAAAAAACACAGTCCATGAGTTAACTCATGGACTGTGTTTTTTGTTTTATTTATATATATCATATAGTATATATAATATATATATATATATATATATATTATGTATATATTATATATATATATATATATATATAGTATATAATATATATTATATATATAGTAATATATATATTATATATATCGAAAAAATCATCATCACATTCCAAGGGGGGGGGGGTTATAATTTGCAAGTACATGTATTTAGATCCACTACGAGTAAGTGTCTAATTTACTCAGTACATGTATTATGTAGACGCTTAAGGTCTCACCCAGGTACGGAATTAGACCCAACCGTGTAGGAAAGGAGTTCTTTTAAATTTTGAAGTGGTCCAATTTAAGTAATCTCTAGCTTGATTGGTCATAACTAAAGTGTATTTATTGCACCTGTGTAGTTTTTGTGTGTTATATGTTGACTTTAAAAGGTTTTTTTGTGTATTCTCTAGGACCCCATTTGTTGGCGGAAGGATTAAAGATGTACTACCCACCAGCAGTCTGGTGAATTTAAACAGTGTTACAGTGAACAGTGTTCATTCTATTGAATGAAAATTTCTGAGAAAAAGTAGACAGCTAACATATTATATTTCGGGCCTCATTTGACTGAGATAGTGTTGATGTTTAAAGTTGAAGACTGTATATAATTCATGAAGAACAGTGGAATCCAGAATTAAGCCTCAAATGTGACTGAACAAACAGTATGAACATTCACTGGGCCTACACCTTAATCTGCCTTTGCACTGACCCAGAGTAGTCTATTGAAAGTGTCTACATGTATGTAGTCTAAGCCATTATATGTTGACCAACTGCCTTAATTTGACTGTTAAGAATGTTTATGACAGGAATGCTCGCTGGGCCGTTCAGGTTTCCAATAAAAGACTTTACATTTATCTTAAGTCATGTTTTTTGGCATAAAATGTTTCACGAATTAACACACATACTCACGATGGACATCTAGGTCGACCAAACTCACCATCTAAGTTTTTTCATGCTCAGGTGAGGAATAAACATATGTATTTGTATACTCCTTATATGCCTATCCTCAGATGTATTCAATAAGAATGTGTTGCCCTTTTTAATAGACTCTGCCAGTTGTAGCCTTTATATTTGACTTTTTATGTTGCACAGTTATAACAATCTCTCATGGAGTGACAAAAATTGTACTCTCACTATTGTCATACCTCGATTTTGTTGACTTTTGTACATTATCTCAATGTTGCAGGGTATTTCATTGTATACCAGAAGAACCTTTGTTTTCAAAGATGGGCTACTTGGTTCACTTGCTGGCTCCTGCTTTTTTACCTCAAGAATACATGTGATATTGTGAGGAAAACAGGTCATGTGCCTTCAAATACTGCTAAACAAGCATTTGCTGCTTTCTACGTCTGAGAATTTGTCAATATTTTCGCCTAAAATCTTCCAAGTGAAACGTATTTTTTTCATATATTTCAATTCACTTAATTGGCTTTTTTCCTAGAAAACAAATATTTACTTCCTCTTTCATCTTTTTGTCTCAACAAATCATCATTCTTGTTTCACCTTAACTATGACCACTTTGTACCTGTCGTTATTAAAATATAGGGTATGTACACTGCGCGTTTACACCCTTGAAATTTCAGCATCAGTGCTGACTGCTTTTCTCTGGAATGACAGAAATACACATTTAACATAAGTGTCTAAAAAGGCTTAAAAGATCATGGTACAAGGTGGTGTCCAATAAATTTTGATATTGTTTGACTTCTTAATTCCACTTCAACCTTATAGAATCAATGAACAATTTTGGTTGAAACATGCATTTGAATTGGAAATTTTTTAAGACAGCTAAATATTTGATAGTGCCAACAATTATGGGCATTTAGAAGAACAAAAAATGTCCTTGTCAACAAACATATGCCCCTAAAGTAACTCAGGGGCGGACAGACGAAAATGGTACACGCAACACATCGTTCAAATGTGACGTTTAAGATTAAACATGAATTCGGACGGATATTTTTTCATAGAAACGTACAGACAATAGACGGTGAGTATGTGTTTTTGTATGTGTGCGTGCGATTGCGTGCATGACGCTCTACCCATTTTGTTATTGAACAATTGTCCTTTCTTTATTTTATTCTGTTCTATTTAATAATCTTATAGGTTATTTGTTACTTCTTATTTTTTATTTGTCAATACTTATTTGTTAATACTTATTTGTTTTTCGTTAATATTTATTTGTTATTTGTTAATACATGTACAAGTATTTATATGTTACTAGTTACTAAGGCTGTCAAAAGAGAACAGAGGGAAACTTAGTTCTATGTGCAAAATATCTTATTTCTAGGCATTTATGATATAGTTGCTTTTTCATCACTGCCACTATATAAGTCTGTAAATACTGGTGACTGTAGGGCGAGGCAATTTTTCATCATAGAGGCAAACGTTTTAACAAATATTTAAAAGGACCATGAAGTGATGCTACATAC